AAGGAAAGTGAAACATCAGTGCTTAGTAAAAGAAAAGAATGAACTTGAAGATGGTCTTTGTTATATTTCGTGCTAAGAGACTAAATACTTAACACCAGGTGAATAATAGAAGAAAGGTTTATTGTACACAACCAGTACAAGATGAAATACGGTACAGTTATACAAACAGGTCAATCTAGTAGTGAGTGCCACTAATTGGAAGATTGGACGTGCTTGTGTCTTCTTGCTCTCGCTCTTCTGCAGTCTCTCATAGACAGTTGGCTTTATAGGTACTTACTACCTATAATGTAATCATTCATGGGGGTGACTGGTTATTCCATTACATCAGTATTAATGCTCTTTTTTAATTCCAGAAAACTGAAAGGTTAAATGCTAAAAGATAAACATCCAGAACACTTATAACATTGCTTGAAATGTTCTCTTTCTAATTGTGAAAAAAACTGAAAAGGTAAATATAAATACAACAAAGAAATTGAAAGTTGTCCTTTTTAAAGTATTAACTGTCTGATATTATTTCTATGTTGGTGGATATGAGGAAACTCAGAGACTTGAAGTGTGTAGATGAAAAGGTGCAGTTGAATAAATCCAAACAATTTATAGACATTATAACATTGTGTAACTGACTTTACAGAAAAAATATCTTGAAACAATGAAGAGTAAACTTATTCAATAAAATCACCAATGGCTTCAACCATGGCCTCCAGATGACTTTGGAATCTCCTGCAACACTTCTAGACGATCTCCTTGGTGAATGCTGCTATAATCCTTACCTTCAGTCTATCTTTGGTGTCACAAGGAGTTTTGTTGCTCCCTTGCTTAACTGTGCCCCACACATAGTAATCAAAGGAGATGCAGTCTGGGGAGTTAGGTGGCCAGATGTAAGGGGTGATGTGGCTGCAGAAATTGTCTGACAGCTATGCTTGTGTGGCATGGTGCAGAGTCCTATTGCCAGATATTGGGTCTTCTAGCAGCCACCCTCTTGACTCAGGGAAATACTACCTCCTTGAGGCATTTGATATAGGCCTCCATGAGGCCCTGTGGGAAGATGAATGGAGGCATAATGTCACTGCCACTAGTGATCACTCCAAACACATTCATAATCACCATCAGACTCATTCAACTCTGAATGACACCCAAACACTCTGAAATGTTCATATTGGAGCTTCTGGCATGAATGCCAAGCCGTACATCATGCCATTTCCAAATTTATGGCAGAGTGAATTGCATCATGGTGGTCTTTTTCTCACAGAGGGTGCCCAACTGACCCTACTATATTGTGCAGTTGACAAAATCAAAAACAAACAATGCATATATGCAAAATAAAAAATATAAAATGGTGACAATTTACCCATCACATCTTGTACGTGTATATATATATATATATATATATATCACATTATGAAATGGACAAAGTTTGACAATTATTTTAAGACATTTATGTTTATACATTCTTTTTATAGATACAAATATTTAAGTAAATGCTCTGTTTATAATAAACAGTATTAAACAACATTTACCGGCCTGAATGTTCGAGAAATTTTCATAGAAAATATTTGTCCTCCAACAGGATTCGAACCTGTATCCTATACAGAACCATCATATAGCCTCATGTGCCTTTTAACCAATTTGGTCACAGAGGATCTACCGGTTAGCAAGGTCGAATTTACTGCTTTTAAACTTCAATCATCCGTGAATCTCTCACATGCATTCATATCGGTTCATGGCGTATTAAGTGTAAACAAATGACATCACACATTATGAAATGGATAAAGTTCGACAATTATTTTAAGACATTTTATGTTTATACATTCTTTTTATAGATACAAATATGAGCCAGATGGCAGTAATGAAAGACCTTGGAATATTAAGAAGTGGAATTTCATAAATCCTCTTGAAATCTCCAGACTCTTAAAGTGTTTTGGATCAACTAATCTGTGATTACTGTCTTAATGTGAAGCATAGGAATCTTCAAAAACTATAAGATCAATTAAAGACAATTGCAAGACAAGAGACAAATGAATGTGACTTGTACAAATTGGTGTCAGTAGAAACCTGGAAATATTAATTCAAGAAACATTGACTAAAATATTGCATTTCAGTATTACATAAATAGCATTGAACCTTCATGCCCTAAAAAAAACATTGTCAAAAGGACATTTTTTCCTTTGACATCAATTTTATTTTAACTACTTTCATTCCCCAGAAATGTTTATTGTTTTAAAAAGCAATGATTAAAATTGTAATAAGACCTCCATATATGATGAAAGAGAATTTATACAATTTTTTCTTCTTGAGAATTTACAACAAAAATATTAAACATGATTCATTCATTAGATTGTTTACTTACAAAAATAATTCTATATTTACAACATTCTAAAACCTAATACAATTAAAACTAATGCAATGCAATATTTATCATTTACCAATTTATAAAGAAATAAATATGAAAACAGTTTTTATTCATAAATTTATAAACTGGTATATAGGAATAAAGTGTTGCTGCTAACACTTGAGTTTGAACATAGATCGCCAATGAGCAAAAACAGGTGATCCCATTATTGAAGTAAGTAGATCACATGACCTTGGGGGAAACACATAAGTACAAAGTAGTGTGACGTCTAAGCAATTACTATTTCTAATCTATCCTCTATTACTATTCATACTGCTAATCATCATACTATTCACTATACGAATTACTATTTGAGTGAGTATTATCGAGCAAGTACTATTAGCGTGAGTGATATTCGAAGGTGCCTGACACTAGTATTGTTTAACGGTGTTACTATAGTTGTATCTGCGATTACAAAGTCTCTACTACAACGAGCATTACAGAAGTGGCAACAAGCATTCATTGACATCACAAAAAAATGTTGTTGTGATACACATTCCAGTTAAATGCCAATTTAAAAATTTGGGCCAAAATCCACTTGTCTATTTTTTTGTTCTACACTCAGGCAAATTTTTTAAAGGACAAATTAGAAATATATATCCATGGAAATGTGTTATATAAGTCTAAAGTGTCACTGGTGGCACTTAAGTTTGAACATAGATCGCCAGTTAGCAAACACAGATGATCCCATTATTGAATTAATTAGACCACATGACAGAGGAAACACATATATGAAAGGTAGTGTGACATCTAATTGATCTACATTTCTAGTCTATCCTCTATTACTATACAGATCACTATTTCTACTCTATCCTCTATTACTATACTGATCACCATTTCTACTCTATCCTCTATTTCTATACAGATCACCATTTCTACTCTATCCTCCATTTCTATACAGATCACCATTTCTACTCTATCCTCTATTTCTATACAGATCACCATTTCTACTCTATCCTCCATTTCTATACAGATCACCATTTCTACTCTATCCTCTATTTCTATACAGATCACCATTTCTACTCTATCCTCTATAACTATATGGACCCCTATTCTCTACTCTATTCACTATACTATTCAGCAATTCAGATCACAATACGGATTACTGTTCGAGCAAGTATTATTGAGCAAGTACAATTAGTGTGAGTGTTATTCAAAGGCGTCTGACACCAGTATTGTTCAACGCCATTACAATAGTTGTATCTGCGATTACAAAGTCTTTACTACTACGAGCATTACGAAAGTGACAGTGAGTATTCTTTGGCATTACAAAAGTGGCATTCGTTGACATCACAAAATAAACATTTACTAAATTATTAAAATATCTGCATTAGAATGAACTCTTCCTCCCTCATAAATACTAACCTGCGAGACTTCCTAAGGAGGCAGTCGGGATGCAGTGTAACCTGATAGATCTTGATATATGGAGGTGTTTCTGTTATGGTGACCTATCTACATTAGAATGAACGCTTCCTCCTTCATAAATACTAACCTGTGAGATTTTTTAAGGGAGGCAGTCAGAACGCAGTGTAACCCGATAGATCTTGATATATGGTGGTGTTTCTGTTATGGTGACCTATCTACATTAGAATGAACGCTTCCTCCTTCATAAATACTAAACTGCGAGACTTCCTAAGCAAGTAGTCGCGATGCAGTGTAACCTGACATTTCGGACGGATATTTCTATCTGCTGACTAATAACACTCTTATTTTGTATTTGTGTTCTGTTATTTCAATACACTTGTTCAACCTGCTTTCTTCTTCCTGTGTCTTTCTTTCTGACCCCTAACAGGCCGCCACAGTTAAAATAATAGTGGTATTGATGGAAAAAAATGTCCTTTTGACACTACAAAAGTCTAAATTTTCCCAAACATTTGAAAGCTATAGTAAGTTGGTAAAAGAATTATGAACCGTCATATGTAGATATTTGGAATAAGATCAACTTCAGTGATAAGACTAAAATAAAGTTGCATTCTAATAAGTGAGAATTTAACCTACAGGAAAGTGAAACTAAATTGATTATGGGAAGAAAACAGCAGAATTTGGGGGTAAGAGTCTGATGCTATGGGGGATACATAAAAAGTGATGTTTCAATAAAGTTGATTAAAACTGACAGGTGCTTGGACAGTTCCAAATACATTCAGTTGCTGAAAGATCCTCATAAATCTGTACAAAATTTCCAAAATCTATATAACTGTCATGTCCAAGGTTTCAACTCAAGTTAGTTATCATCAGGAGTGTAGATGTAGTGAATTTATGACCATTATAAACAATAAGTATATAAGTAAAATATCGTGAAGAAAATCATAATTGGTACATTTAATGCGTTGTTATATTTTAAATTGGACTGAATAAATTCAAAAAATTGGAAGTGTTTCCTGCCATGTGTCATAACATACATCAGTCGTTTGTAATGACTTTCTTTGAAGACTATAATTATTTTTATTGATGCTTGGTTGGTTTTATCTGATGTAAATGGCTTCAATAATTTTAAGACTTTTTTGCTATTGGATTTATGAATTATTTTGGTGTTGTTTGGAAAGAACTGTCTAATGTTACTCTAGTTCTTATGATGCTTGTTAATGTGCTGTTTAATAGCACATTGGATGACATGTGCGTCTGTGAAAAAGAGAGGTTGTTTTGTAACCTATATAAGACATATTGTTTGGTGGGTTGAGGTTATGATCTTACTTATTATAAAACGCAGGTTGTGTGTGTGTGTGTGTGTGTGTGTGTGTGTGTGTGTGTGTTTGTTCGTTTATATATGGGATTGTATTTCCTACATTTTTCAACCGATTTCAACAAAACTCCACAGGACTACGTAAAATTACACAGCGATGGTTCTGACAGCGCCAAAAATTGGAAAAACACAATTGTTTTTGCATGAAATCAGTTTGAAAGCACGAGTAAGGGTATCGCACCCAGCTGGTAGTTACTGCCAGCTACTCAAACATCTGAAAACAGAATGAATGCCGTTAACTTCCGGTGACTCAGCATTTTTTTTCAGAGAATGATACACAAAAAGTAAAACAAATGAAACATAAACATACACAAGTCCTCTTAACTAAAAATAATAACCGGAAACTACTTTAAATACACATGGTGTCCAAATGAAATCCATGTGTACAGTCAAAATGTGGAAGTTAATTTTTAGTCATCAACCAAAAGATATTGCCAACCGACTATGATGCTAACTGGAGCCGAGATAAACACAGCCGATTTCTTCCACCAAGCAACTTGGCAAAAATATTTTAAGTCAAATGATAGTGATTGCTGTATGAGTTGTACGATTTTTGAATCAAGCACGGGTAACGCCGGGCCATGTTGTTAGTTATATATAAATTCTTGTCAAGAGTCCCGATTGGTGATTGAAAAATTATGAAATTTTGAGTCAGCCTTTGATAATTGCTAAAGTCTAATATTGACGAATTTTGTACAATATATTCTATTAAATTTGATATATATATATATATATATATATTTTATTTTATTTTTTTATTTTTTTATTTTTTATTTTTTTAATCGGTATCAACCCAAGCAAGGCAGTATAGCCACTAGCACACAAGGGGTTACAGGATGTAGAGGAATTAGGAACAGAAATATTAGTAATAAGCAGAAAGAAAAGAACAATCAGGAGGATAGTAATAGCAATTGATATTGCATTAAAATTTTCACATATTAAAGTGGGTTGGAAAGCATAGAGCCGGGAGGGAGTACCACAAGCAAGAAGTGCGGGATTAGAAACTGTTAGCATAGAAGTTTCAACTACATCTCGCTAACTCAACTGTAAACTGATGAGATCTCACTGCCAGTCTAGTACTACACTCAAATTCATACAGTCTAGGTACCATAGTGAAGAGCTCATTCGAACATTCACCATGAAAGTATTTATAAAAGTAAAGGCACATAGAGGCAATATTATGGCATTGGGTAAGTGACTGAAGCCATGCGACAAGATCAAGACCAATAATATTGCTGATTCTTCTTTGGATCTTATCAAGGAGCTCCAGGAAAATAGCAGGGACACTGGACCATATGTGGCAGCAATATTCTAAACATGGAAAAATTATAGACTATGCAAGATAGATTCCAGAGAGAAAAATTGTCTCACCCATCACAGTGAATTGATTTTCTTAGCATCTGATCTAGCAATGGATTCAATGTAGTCTTTCAACATCATGTCAGCTAAGAACATTAGCCTAAAAGGTGCAATGTGTCCCTTTCTTGGAGGATAGCATTAGCCATGCTGATGGAAGGCAGAGAGAGGTCTCTCAGATGATTAATGGACAGCAGTTTATTTTTAGAGGCATTAAAATTGACAAGCCATCTTTTTTCCCAGTTAATGATAGTCTTGAGGTCGTTTTGTACACCGGCTGCCATTTTGACCCTGTTGGACTGATCAGCCTTACTATTGAGGCAGGAGTAAATGGTAGTGTCATCAGTGTAGATGCCAAGTTGAGAGCTGATGTCATTGGGAAGATCATTAATGAAGATTAAAAACAGTGCAGAACCAAGGGATGAAGCCATGGAGGACAGTGATGTAAGTACGAAAGGAAGTAGACGAGTGGGCATTCATTTCACGATTTGATAGGAACAACTAGATCAGCTCAAAAATATCCCCAGAGATACCAGAGCTTTTCAACTTTTGGAGAAGGCCTGAATGCCAGACAATGTCAAAGGCTTTCAAGATATCCAATGTTACAGCCCAAGCTTCACTGTTTTTATCTAAGGCACGATAGACTCTTTCCACAATTATTGTTAGTACATCAGCAGTTGATCTGAAGAAACGAAAGCTGTATTGCTTGTCTGAGAAAAGGCCCTGTGATGAGAGATGATGAACCAATTCAGCATTGATTAGGGCCTCTAGGAGTTTCCCAAACAGAGGCAGAAGTCTAATAGGATGATAGTTGAATGGGTCAGAGTTCATCAGAGTTCTTAAAAGCTGGAACAACAGATGATGACTTCAACTGGGTAGGAAAGGAGGAGGCAGTGAGGCATTTATTATACAGTTTAGAGAGGACAGGAGTCAGTTCAGGAGCACACTTCTTAATGACTATTACAGGGTTACCATTGGGCCCACATGCTTTGTGGGGATCTAGGTTACAGATGATAGCAGAAATTATAGAAGGAGTTATATACATATCACTCAACTGAAAATCAGTTCTAATTGGGAAGTTAGGCAGTGATATTCTAGATGAGTCGAGAGTAGAGTTTGAAGAGAATTTATGGGCAAAGCATTCAGCTTTATCAGCAGAGGATGTTAACACCTCAAATTGATGGAAGTGGGTAGGAATAAAGACCTTGCATTTATTTAGTACCCTATTACAGAGATGCCAGTAGTCACGAAAGCTAAAGTTTTTAGAGGTTATGTGGTGTCACATTTTCTGAGCAAACAGGGACTTAGCTTCTTTGAGGACTTGCTTACATTTGTTACGAGCATTAGCAAACAGTCACCTATTAGGATGAGAGCTGTCCTGCTGGTATAGCTGGAAATAGTAGCTCGTAGTGCTATGGCAGCCAAACATGCTGGTGTGAACCATAGAGAGGACTGCGGTTTCATCTAATATTTTTGAGAAGGAATGAAGGCATCCATGCCGACTTTAATCCAAGTGGTGCATTTTTTAATTGGGGAGTTGAAGATGTCAGTATATATATATGTGTTAAATTATATAATTTTACATATATAAATTGTGAGTATTAAAAGCTAGGATGTGCTGGGTGGCATAATGGATAATGGCTCAAGAATGAGAAATTACGGGGCTGAGTTCAAACTCCTGTCTGATTTATTGACATTGATTTTTTTCTTTTCATTTTCACAATTCTTTTGGGGTTTTTTTCTGACTTTATTATTTTCTTCTTCTTCTTCTTCTTCTTCTTCTTCATCATCATCATCATCATGTTTGGATTAGTTTTCTTTTGCTTTATTAAGACTTCTCCCATCTTCTTTCTCCTTTTTACAAGAGTAAGATTCCTCTTCCTGTAACTCCTTCCCCTCCCCCTCTTTCTCTTTAGATCTCTCTCTTCTTTCTTTCTTTCTTTCTTTATTTCTTTCTTTCCACTTTGATTTATTCTAATATTTTTCTCTCTCTCCTTTCTTTCTTTCTTTCTTTCTACTTTGATTTATTCTAATATTTTTCTCTCTCTCCTTTCTTTCTTTCTTTCTTTCTTTCTTTCCACTTTGATTTATTCTAATATTTTTCTCTCTCTCCTTTCTTCTTCTCTTTAGATCTCTTTCTTTCTTTCTTTCTTTCTTTCTTTCTTTCCACTTTGATTTCTAATATTTTTCTCTCTCTCCTTTCTTCTTCTCTTTAGATCTCTCTCCCTTCTTTCTTTCTTTCGTTCTTTCTTTCTTTATTTCTTTCTTTCCACTTTGATTTATTCTAATATTTTTCTCTCTCTCCTTTCTTTCTTTCTTTCTTTCTTTCTTTCTTTCTTTCTACTTTGATTTATTCTAATATTTTTCTCTCTCTCCTTTTCTTTCTTTCTTTCTTTCTTTCCACTTTGATTTATTCTAATATTTTTCTCTCTCCTTTCTTCTTCTCTTTAGATCTCTTTTTCTTCTTTCTTTCTTTCTTTCTTTCTTTCTTTCTTTCTTTCTTTCTTTCTTTCTTTCTTTCCACTTTGATTTATTCTAATATTTTTCTCTCTCTCCTTTCTTCTTCTCTTTAGATCTCTTTCTTTCTTTCTTTCTTTCTTTCTTTCTTTCTTTCTTTCTTTCTTTCTTTCCACTTTGATTTCTAATATTTTTCTCTCTCTCCTTTCTTCTTCTCTTTAGATCTCTTTCTTCTTTCTTTCTTTCTTTCTTTCTTTCTTTCTTTCCACTTTGATTTATTCTAATATTTTTCTCTCTCTCCTTTCTTCTTCTCTTTAGATCTCTTTCTTTCTTTCTTTCTTTCTTTCTTTCTTTCTTTCCACTTTGATTTCTAATATTTTTCTCTCTCTCCTTTCTTCTTCTCTTTAGATCTCTCTCCTTTCTTTCTTTCTTTCTTTCTTTCTTTCTTTCTTTCTTTCTTTCTTTCCACTTTGATTTATTCTAATATTTTTCTCTCTCTCCTTTCTTCTTCTCTTTAGATCTCTTTCTTTCTTTCTTTCTTTCTTTTCTTTCTTTCTTTCTTTCTTTCTTTCCACTTTGATTTCTAATATTTTCTCTCTTTCCTTTTTCTTCTCTTTAGATCTCTTTCTTTCTTTCTTTCTTTCTTTCTTTCTTTCTTTCTTTCTTTCTTTCTTTCTTTCCACTTTGATTTCTAATATTTTTCTCTCTCTCCTTTCTTCTTCTCTTTAGATCTCTTTCTTCTTTCTTTCTTTCTTTCCACTTTGATTTATTCTAATATTTTTTCTCTCTCCTTTCTTCTTCTCTTTAGATCTTTCTTTCTTTCTTTCTTTTCTTTTCTTTCTTTCTTTCTTTTTCTTTCTTTCTTTCTTTTCTTTCTTTCCACTTTGATTTCTAATATTTTTCTCTCTCTCCTTTCTTCTTCTCTTTAGATCTCTCTCCCTTCTTTCTTTCTTTCTTTCTTTTTCTCTTTCTTTCTTTCTTTCTTTCTTTCTTTCTTTCTTTCTTTTTCTTTCTTTCTTTCTTTCTTCCATTTTGATTTATTCTAATATTTTTCTCTC